AAACTCTAAACCACATTAATATCTTATTCTGATCTCATTATGTGGAAGGTTAGGTTTTCTGAACAACTGGTTAGCCAATTCATCTATTTCCTCAAACCATCTTAAAAGAAGAAATTTCAATACAGGCTGAACGTCCCTCATCCACCTGTTCGGGGCCAGAAGTGTGTAAGCCTCTGAAGTATGTGCATTCTATTCCACACCCCCAGCCAGAAATCCTGAGCTAAGTTCTATTTATCCTGCTGATAAATTAGTTATTTATTATTGTTCCGATCTACAACCTGCAAACGTCACACCTTGGAGGAATAGCATCCAAGTCAAAACAAGAAACTCATGTGTTTCATATCCACTTTATATGTGCACTGAGCCTAATCTTAGGAAGTATGTCTAGTCCACCTGAATTTGGACAATTTGTCACAAGGTCAAGGGTGGAATTCTCCATTTATGGCATCGTGTCAGGGCTCGAAAAGCCTTCAGCTTGGTAGTGCTTTCTCAAAAAAAAAAAAAAAAACGCTTTGAGACTTCATCTCACCCTAATCAGAATGGCCAAGATCATCAAAACAGCTGACAACAAAAGCTGGCGAGACCATGGGGAAAGAGCAACCCTCACCCACTATTGGTGGAAATGCAAAGAGGTGCAGCCCCTCTGAAAATCGGTAGAGAATCCTCAAAAACAAAACAAAACAAAAACAAAAAAAAAAAACCACTACACATAAATCTAGCGTGTGACACAGCTGTACATTCCTTGGGACATGCCCAGGGGACTCTCCATATCCTACTCCACAGACTCTTGTTCAGCCACGCTTATTGCTACCCTATTTGGAATAGCTAGGAAACAGAAACAACCTAAATGTCCTTCAACAGATGAACAGTTAGTGACAACGTGGAATACTATTCAGCTGTGAAGAAAAATGAAGTCCTGAAATTCGCACACTCAGCATTTCAGATTATGGATCTTCAACATGAAATTGAACTGAGTAAACCTGAACCTTCTTTTTTGTTGTTGTTTTGGTTTTTTTCGAGACAGGGTTTCTCTGTGGCTTTGGAGCCTGTCCTGGAACTAGCTCTTGTAGACCAGTCTGGCCTCGAACTCAGAGATCTGCCTGCCTCTGCCTCCCGAGTGCTGGGATTAAAGGTGTGTGCACCACCACCACCCAGCCAACCTGAACCTTCTTTCCTTAAAAACATTAGAGTACAGACAGCAGAAAGAAGGGCACTGACCAAATATCTACTTCCTAGCAAAAATAGCAGTGCATTGGCCGGAGCAGTGACAACAGGCTGACATGGGCAGCCTTATCCATTGAAAAATCAAACACTGGAGCCAGGCACGACGGCGCACACCTGCAATCCCAGCATGATGGGGGCTGCAGCAGAAGAATCAGTCTGAGGAGAGCATAGGCTACACAGTGAGACCATAAATCAAAACTACAAAAGCCATTTGGGCAGCCCACCACATGGCTGGGGCAGGGAGGGGGGTGGTGGCTCCAGGAAGTCTAAGGCAGGTACACAGAAAGGATTACGTAAGATTACCTTCAGGATGTGTAAAGGGCTATAAAGGAATTCCACGGTTTGTTTCTGTCTTTAGGTTTCACTACGGGGACTCGCCTGACCAGAGAATTTACCAAATGAGGCCACCAGATCACATTCCCTCGCTGTCTGGAAGACCTAGGGACCAGGCTAGGTATGGTGTGGTAGGGTTCTGAGCATAGGCTAAGGATTCTGATTTCATTACCAACCTCAATAACACAGCCCAGAAACCAACGATGTGTTACTAAGTGTGCTGCACACGTGAAGTGTGCATCAAGTCTGCAGCAGGTTAGGAAACACCACAGACAACTGGGGAGAAGGCCACGAACGTCCAAAGGAAACCAGCAAGAGAGTTCTGCAGGAGGTCCCAGGACACATTCACTGCCTTTTAGTTGAGATGCAAGATGGTGAGATACAGGAGAGAAAAGGCCAGTAAAAGAATGAAACTTAAGTCAGGTGGTGGTGGCACAGGCCTTTGATCCCAGCACTAGGGAGGCAGAGGCAGGCGGATCCCTGTGAATTCGAGGCCAGCCTGGTCTACAATAGCTGGTTCCAGAACAGGCTCCCAAAGCTACAAAGAAACCCTGTCTTGAAAAACAAAAACAGAAACAAAACAAAACAAAAAAGAATGAAACTTAAGACACTCACGGAAGCTGTGAAAGGGACCAGATCCCTCTTGGGCTACTCATACAGGCACAAGTCAGAGATGGGGAATACCCCTGCGACCCTAACATAGCACTGCTATTTCAATCTAAAGAATGCTCTTCACTGCCATGGCCTAGAGGACCGAGAACCTCGGATGGAAGTGTACTCCAGGGGGCAGGGTGGGGGGTGGGATAGGAGTGGGGCGCAGAGGCCGTAACTCCCTGAGAAGGCTTTAACATCAGGTTCTCTGCCATACCTGTGTAGTGAATTGCTGAAAAAAAATAAAGTCATTTTAAAAGTGGCGCTACTAGGAAGACCTCGAGAAATGAACTATCCTCACCAAGACTGCATACCTCTGATAGCCTGTTTCAAAACGGTGCTCTGACCGCCTTCTGCGCTGCCTTAATGTGGGCATTTAGCAGCACAAACAGCACCCTTGTTTGCTTCTGTGCTTTGAAGACACCCTGAGAAATGTTTCCATCTCTCACTTTAGGAGAGAGAAACAATTCCGGAGCCCCCCCCCCCCACCCTTGAAGTCCCTCTGGATGGGAAAGCTAATTTCCTAAGTCTCTGGGGGGAGCTGTCAAGAGTTCCCAGTTCATTTGTACGAAAAGTTATCTCACTAGTTTTCCCAAACACTGCTGCCTAGCCAGCTCTGCACTTGCAGCAAGCAATCTGGGATTCTTCCGTCATTAAGCCTCATTCTGAGCATCAGAAAGATCATCTCCACAAGCCATGTCAGCCCCAGTGCACACAGCAAGCCCGTCCTTTAGGGAAGCACGCCATGCCTTACAGAGCAACCGGGCCCGGCGTTGCCAGGGCAAATCAAGCTAATTCAAGAGATCAAATAAAAGAACTCAGGGTCGCTATATAATCAGCGAGTCTCCGGGTGTTTTCAAGGGGTCATCCAGTCTGCTCCAGCAAGGAAAACGCACGAGGGGAGATTTAACAAGGACGAAAGCGCCATTTCCCCAACACCTGGAAGCCGCTGTCTGTTGGGAATGTTCAGTCCCTCAATGTTCATGACAGAGGTCAGGAATATGACAGGGTTAAACAGAACAGGGAGAAGAAAGAAGACCGAAGCAAGGAGCATGTAGGGAAAGAAAAGCTGAAAGCCTGGAATCGGACTACAGGGAGCTGGAAACCACCTTTTATATGCTCTGCCCATTCTACGGGGCCAGTCTCTCCACAGCTAGCTAGATCAGCTAGCTAGCAAGCAGAGCAACTCTCCACCCCAGACTGCACAGCTAAGGGGCCAAAAGCAAGGCAGGTAGTGAGCTGTTAACTCCAAGTTACTGCCGGACCAAGTTCTCAATTTCAGTCTCGGGACACTGGGACCTTTTCTTTCTTCAATCAAAACTACACTAACCGACCAGGATGCAAGAAAGTTTAAGGTAGGATGGTCCCTTGTGGTCACTTAGGAACAGCCCGAAGGTCTGAAACCTTAACTGTCTAAAATGCACTTTTTCCTCGTGGCCACTGGCTGCTTTCGCTCTAGTAACCTGGGCAATTCACGAAAGTCTGTTTCTAAGTTTCTGTTATCTATAAACTCTTGGAAAGAAAATGGAGGGAGTGCCCTGAAGCACAGTTTAGATGTTTTGATGAAGTAGAGACCTTTACACTGGAAAACCACTGTTGATAACTATACCAAAAAATCCAGCCTTAAAACACGAGCAAAATTATTTTCATTCCTCCTCAAAATCCCCTGCAGAAAAGCCTGCAGTGGGTGAGGAGCAGAGGAGGGTACCTAGCAAGCCATGCCCACTGGCCCCAATTGTCTGTTTCATTTGGGCCCAACCAAGGAACAGGCCTGTGCACCTACGGTGCAAACTGGGGCAAACTGGGACCGGTTCATCCCAGGCAGACTCAAACTTGGCAGGACTAGCCTTAAACCTGTTAACAAAATAAGTCAAATAAGGGGCAAACTGCCGACTTGAACAGGCTAGGGTAGCAGGGCCCACTCCACTTGGCACCCAGCTGTGTATCCCCAAGCTGTTCTCAAGATTACTGTAAGTCTCAATATTACTGTAAGTCACGTCTGCTATCCATTAACCACCACCCAGCATCCCGCGTACACCTACTAGGAGAATCCTTATTGTGTATAAATTACAGCGTTTTGCAAAGCAAACCCCTCCACACAATGCCAAGCTAACAGTGCTCAAAAGGGAGGTGCCGTCGGGGCATTAAAAGTCACACAGCAAATTCTTGCAGAACCACTTACTTAAATCGCCATGAATAAACCGAAAGGGGCAGAGCAGCTGGGAGAAACTTTGGCTCGGGAGGTTTAAGCCTTGGAAATGCCGGGCAGGGCGCAGGGACTGGAACCAGGCACAAAAGCGCCTTGCACGGAGGCACGGACCTCTTACTTGACAGAAAGCTTTGTGCCGGATCACGAATAGTTCTAAATACAATAAGTTCTCCCCGGCCACCACAGCCTCCCGCTTCCTAGCGCCGGCGCCCTGAGATCCCAGGCTATTCTTCCCAGGCACGCGCGCCCGGCGACTCGGCCACGGCTCGGTCCCACGCCTGCCCGCAGGCCAGGGCTGCTTGTGCTCCCGAGGGTTCTCAGTCCTCGGTCACCGTTGTCCGCCCGCGGAGGGCGCCCCACCCCCACGCCAGCCCGGGGCTAGGGAAAAAGAAGGCTCGCAGAAAGGTGTGGATCCGAGGTGCGGGTGCTCGGAGACGCCCAGGCCGCGGCGGGGCCGAGGGCACCAGCGGGGCGCGCAGGGGGACGCGCTCCCTGCTCCTTCCCGGGCGGTCCCTGCCCGTCGTTCCCTCTCTCCCAACTCCGCCGACCCGCCCAAGTTTTCAGCCCCCGCTCGTCGCCTTACCTCGCTGCACACCGCACGCCGAAGCCGGAGGGCAGCGGCGCGGGACCCGGGGCGGCGGCCGCGCTGCGCCCGCCCAGATGCCGCTCTTTGTCTACGCCGCTCCCGCCTTCCGCCGCGGGGCGGACGATGCCGGCCCCGGCGGACCCCGCCGGCCCGGGAGCCCCGAGCCTGCCCGCCGCCGAGCCCTCCCCGCCGCCGCCGCCGCCGCCCGCTCGGCCGCGCGCCCCGGCCTGCGATCCGCGGCGGCGACCCTCCCGCGCAGCGCCCGCCTCCGCGCGCTCCCCGCCCGCCCGCGCTCCTCCCCGGCTGCCGTGACGCCGCCCAGGGGCCGGCCCAGCTCGGCGCGCGCCGGGCGGGGGACCCACCTGGGAGGCCCGGCCCGGCCCGGGAAAAGCGCCGCCTGCGGGCTCCAAGCAGCAACCCGCTCTCGATCAGTGTTGGAGGGGCAGGCCGGCGGGGGAAGGAAGGAGAAGGCTGTGCGACTTCCAGCCCCAGAGTCCCACCGGGTGGTCTCCGCACCCCCGCTGTGCGTTAGATTCCTACAGCGACCACCCCGCCCCGCCGCACACACACACCCCTCCCCGGAAGCATTCCCACGGCACTCTCGGCCAAGCAGGCCTGGTGTCCGTCAGAAAAGTGACTTACATAAAAATGTCACTTCCTCCCAGTAATTGCTTGTGGGCATTTTCTTTATTTATTTGCCTTGCATCTATTTACTTTCCCAACCAGACACTTTTTTCCTCCATCCTCCCAGGCGGGACCACTTCCTAGGGGGAGGAGAAGAAACCCGACCTCCTCTGCCTCCCGGGAGCCCAGGCCAGCTCTTTGGAGCCCGGGATTCCTCCTTTAGTACGGGGGTGGGGGGGGGGGGCTGGAAAGGCTTTAGAAGGCGCCCTCGTTCACTCAGCCTTGAGTAGTGGCAAACCTGTAAGCAAACTTGGAAAGCTAGAACCCTAGAGCAAGGGGAAGGAACACATACGCCTTACACACCGGAATCCAGATGTTTCTTCTCCCAGCTCCTTCTCTCCTGGTTCCCCAAAGGAAGCCCTAATATTCAAATGAATTCCGTTTTCTGGTTGGGTAGCTCACATTTATGTTAATGAGATTCTACCCTGGCCCTTGACTCCTCCTTATTAAGGCAGAAACAATTCTCCCTAAGTGACCAGTCAGCTGCCTCCCTCCCCAAAGGAAGTTCCCAGGCATGGGTAATACCTGAGGACGCTTGGCACCGTAGTCATAGCACAATTTGCAGGCTTCCTGAACTGTGTCACCTTACACAGGTGGTGGTTCACAACCTTTCTCAACTTTAGCACGTGAGATGTTTACCTGCCTCGTATGTAAAGCACTTGGCACATAACCTGACAGGAGGGCGTTAGGTTAAAAAAAAAAACAGCATATCCAACATCCTCTCTCAGTCTGAGATGCTATCTCCGTTCGTCCTTTCGTGCTGACCTCATCCTGTTAATACTTAGATTTACAATAAGAAAAACAGAACGCCAGTCAATAGTTTAACCCTATTTAAAATCCATTTACTCTAAATAAGTAGGAGGATGTGGGCGCAGGTTTTTAGCTTTTGCTTTGAGTAGTGGCCTCAGACTGTTTCGCTTACTGATTCTTTGTTAAGTCCCTAGGGAAGTTTGAATAAGAATGGCTCTCCCATAGACTTATATGTTTGTATACAGAGTCCCTAGTTGCTGAACTCTTGGATTAGGCAATGTGTCCTTGTTGGAGGAGATGTGTCAATGGGGGTGGACTTTGAGGTTTCAAGAGCTAGGCCAGGCCCAGTGTGTCTCCCTGCCTGCTGTGGATCAGGATAGAGCTCTCAGCTACTCCCCAGCACTGTGCCCGCCTGCTCCTTGCCACGCTCCCTGGCATAATGACAATGGACTAAGCTTCTGAGACAGTAAACACCCCAGCGAAATGCATATATGTGTGTGTATATAATATATACATGAGTTTTATATGTGTGTGAGTATATATGTGTATATGCATGTATATGGTGTCTCTTCAGAGCAATAGAATACAAACTAAAACAGTCCCCAATAATGGCATCTTGTGTCTAAACTCAATAGCTCCTTCCCAACCCTAGCCCACCTAGTTTTCCTTCAAACAGGTGGCATTTTTGCTGTTGTCTAAAGTCCATCATCTCGTTGTAAGGTGTTTCGTTCTCGTTCCTTGCTTTTCCGGCCAACCTGTCTCTGTCTGCGAGGAGTCGTTTTCCAAACATCGACAGCAGAATTCCCAACGAGGATGTGGGTTTTTGTTTTTTGTTGTGAGGCGGATTTCTTTTCTGCATGCATGTGTGTGATGTGCATGTACGTATGAGCACCTGTCTGTGCTAGTGTTTATGGAGACCAAATGGTTTTGGTCTGGTGTTCTCCCTGATGGCTCCCGCTTGAACCCAGAGCTCTCTGATTTAGCTACTGCAGCTAATCAGACTGAGAGGGGGGAATCCCCTGTCTCCACTTCCTGCATACCTACCTGGCATTTACATGGATACTGGGAACTCAAGTTCTGCTCCTAGTGTTTGTATGTCAAGGACTTTTTCACCGAGCCGTCTCCTGAAATATGAAATGTCATCTTTTGTATACCCCAGTCCCAGTTAAACTATACTCTGAAAGAATTCCAGTTTATCTGCATTATCTCAGGGCTAGTCCATTCTGCTCAGCCACCTAGTGTCCTTCCCAGGCCAGCTCTTCATCCCACAGCTTCTGCCATGGCCTAACGTAGTAGTTCTCAACCTTCCTCAAGCTGTGACCCTTTAATACAATTCTTCACGTTGTGGTGACCCCCAACTTTGGAATTATTTTCATTGCTACATCATAACTATATTGTTGCTACCGTTGTGAATTTAATATAAGTATCTGTTTTCTTTTTTGTTTGTTTGTTTGTTTTTCAAGGCAGGGTTTCTCTAGCTGTCCTGGAACTAGCTCTGTAGACCAGGCTAACCTCAAACTCACAGACATCCTCCTGCCTCTGCCTCCCAAGTGCTGGGATTAAAGGCATGCGCCACCATCGCCTGGCAAGTATCTGTTTTCTGATGGTCTTAGGTGACCCCTGTGAAAGTCGTTCAACTCCCCAACCCATAGGTTGAGAACCACTGGCGTAGAATCTACTTCAACTCCCAGGAGAAACCATTTGCCATCCAGATCACTTTGTGACCCAACTGCCAGTCACCTCCAACCCTAGAAAGAAAGTAGAGGGACACTAGATAACCCCACAACCCCATACAGTCCAAAGGTGATTCTTGTAGTTCACAGTTCTCAACCATTTCCTAGGCCTCCCTTCCATTGCCATCACAGGATCCTGGCGTCTATATTACGCCCCAGCAATACTTACCATGAACTGTGACTGAATCTGGACATCTATCCACTCTAAGGCCCATTCACATCTGCAAAACCCGAAACAGCGAAAGAGCTGGGGCAGAGCTGTATGTCACAGCTCTCGTTCTTGCCGTGACGGCCGCCTTCCAGTTAGCCAAGCAAGTTTTCCCATGTTCATGCTTGGTGGCGGTGTCATCCTCACCTTGCTAAAAATGCCTTTCTCCTGTCCTCTCTCCTTGCTAAAAATAAAAATAAAAAATAAAAAAACCCTCCCCATTGCCCACCACAGTCTCCTCAGAGATCTTCTCGTCTTTGTGTATCGGGAGACTGGAGCATTGGCCCCTAGGCAGACCGGGGAATTTGTCCTAAGAAGCCTGTACTGCCTTCCTAATATTTCTCTTACGGTGTTATGATAGTCCCGGTAACCACCTTAACAAATTAGACAAGACAATATAAAGCACAGTGTGTCCTTTCCACACTCTGAAGTCCAGAATCTTCCCGCAAAGGCCCCAGAGAACAGCCCTTCCTTCCCTCTTCTGGCTACTCATGGCTCTAACTCTGTGACTTGGGTCTGCTGCATTACAATGTCTGCTTCATGCCTATGTGTCTGGTCCCCAGTACCAGCCCATCATCTCCTCTTCTCTTTCTAGAGACACATTTTTTGGGGCTACCATTAAATCCACGACAAGGCCCACCATGGAAGACATACTTCTTTTTTTTAAAGCTTGTTTCATCGAAAAACATACACTGCATAGAGCTCTGCATTCTACTTCATTTGGGTACCCATTCTTTTACTATTAAAACGGCTTTGATAACTTATTATTTGAAAGATTAAGGAGTATAAACCTTTAAAATCCCATCAGCATTTAGCGCTGTGGTTTATTTTACAAAGGCATCTGACATTTAGCTCTGCCCACCAGTTTCCTCTTTAACTCTGCTCACCAGGAAGCTTTCTCTTTCATTCACTCGAGGAGGTGCCTCACAGAGCCTCACCAGTGTCTACCTTTCCTACAGTACAGGGGCAGCTGGGAATTCCCCTTCTGGGTCCCTTCCTCCTTGAGAGCTCCTTGAGAGCTTCATTCAGCAGCTCCACCTCAGTAAGGTGTCCTGGGTGGTTTTGTGCGTCAACTTGACACAAGCTAGAGTCATCAGGGGAAGGAGCATCTCTCATGAGGAAATCCTCCCTGAGATCCAGCTGGAAGGCATTTTCTTAGTTAGTGATCAAATCGGGGAGCCCATGGTGGGTGGTGCCATCCCTGGGCTGCTGGTCCTGAGTTGTATAAAGAAGGTGGGTTGAGCAAGTCAGTAAGCAGCTCCCCTCCGTGGCCTCTCCATCAGCTCCTGCCTCAAGGATCCTTTCTTGGTTGAATTCCTGTCCTGAATTCCTTCAGTGAAAGGCAAATAAACACTTTCCTTCCCCAACTTGCCTTTTGGCCATGGTGTTTCTTCGCAGCAATAGAAACCCTACCTAAGACATCCGGTCATGCTGCGGATGCCACTCCAGTCGGATTTCAGAGGCTCAAGGTCTGCTGGTAAGCCTGCTACTTGAGGTCATCAGCCTCCGTGGGCCTCTGATAGTACATTGTCCCTCGTATTCATGAGCGGTGACTTCTGTGACCTCTTCACCCACTGGGATACCAAAACCCACAGATTCTCAAGTACCTTACACAGAATGGTGGGGCGTTTGCATGCAGCTTCAACGCAGCCTCCTACGTCCTTTGACTCATCAGTAGGTGACATGCAACACCTAATGCTATATAATAAAATGCACGCCTGTGTTAAAGTGAGAAGGACAAGGAAGGATGAAATGGAAAGGCCCCAGCACTTTCCTCGGGCAGCAGCTAGCCCGCTTGGTTCTAAGTCTTGTCTTACTTGGTACTACTTGGCACCCTTCTAACCAATTCTCTGGC